TTCAGAGTAACTAAGAAAAATATAGGTTTCCCGACTTTTCAGATACCTACATGACGTTTTTTATTTGATTTTTTTAATATTCAACTGTTCTGTGGAGACAATCGAATTTCATTAATATACATTGTGAAAATTTTATTTCGTTCGCTGGATAAATGATACCGAAAATTACGGACGACAGGTGGACATACACCACAGAATTAAAAGAAAATTTCCCGATGTTGATCCAAAGTAACCAATAGCAAACAATAAAGTTTGGAATTATGAATGGAATGACCCGTTACTTGATGAAAATTAATCAACACTATCAATAATAATTGAAATTACACAATTTTCAGTAACATTTTTTATTTCTAGAGGAAGCTACGGAAAATTGTTTAATTATTGAAAATTGTTTATTATCATGATCCGACAATTGGAGTATATTATAGCTCAAGGTCTTATGAACCTTTTTCGTGAAGTACGAAAAATCACTCACTAGAAGCGCTAGTAGTTCGGTACGGACAAACACTGGCTAATCCTCATATAAACATATGGTAAAGTACAATTAAAAAAGAATGTTTTTAACATAAGATGTTCCTGGAGCAAAACTAAAATTTGCAAATGTAAAGGATAACAATGTGGTAACATAAAAACGTTAGCTTGCATGCCGTAATTTAAAAGTAACTGGAAAAAAAGTGAATTAATAGACAGGTTAGTATACAGACTTTAGTGTAAAAGAGTAGCAGTAGCTGTAATAAAAGAAATTTGAAATAATTATGAATTTCAGATTTATTTCCGAGTGAAATATGAATCAAATATAGATGGTTATGAAACAAATTCAATTTAATGTAATAAATAAATATAATTTAATAAACGATTGAGGTTATATCTCATTCTAATCAATGGTAATGAACTATGAAAAATTTACTATTCATTTCATCTTTAGAGCATACATATGAATATTTATTAATTTTTTGCACTGTTAAATCCACTCTCCTCGAAGCATGTATCCATTTTTTACATCTAACCTCATTAATATGAGCTTTTATAAATGGCATAAAAAATACGTTTTCATCCGGATATCGATTACAATTCGCAAAACAGCAATGCTTTGTTGGCATTATACTAGCACAAAATAATTTTTATATCAGATTTATATTTTCAAATAATAAATTTATTTCACGTAAATAATACTGTTTTACATGTGAATAGTTTATGTTTGTTCCTACTACTAGTGCTGCCTCTCGTGACATGCTTGCTGTACTATTCTCAGGAAAAAGGCTCATTCCAAAACTTAACGTCTAAAGTAAAAGATCAGAAAGAGATATCAGTGAATTTTGAATCATTAACGTCATAAAAATTCAAGTAATGAAGAAGCAAAGCACTGCAATGGGCTTGTTTCATGCTATGGAAAATGATAACGGTTTGCTTATAGACTGATCGAGTTAGGGATATATTATATTTACCAAGCCTAATCGGTCCCAAAATCTCTTTATATTTGCAGAAAAAAGAATGATTCGAAAAGCAAGAATTTAAATTGGCCACGTGTCTGTTGACCAATAAAATTGATCGTGTCTGGAGCTGAGTTGCCAAGTGTATTGGTTTTTAATATTAAATCACAGATCTGATGATCCTATTTGACAGACGCCATTTTTGTTGTTATTGTTGTCAACTCGGTGTGAATACAACTGTTGCAATTATCTAATTGAAGAACTTTTTTTTGTAAAAGGTAGGTCTCGGCGGGTGCCTATTTTGCTGCATATTCCGTGTCGTTAGTTTACATTCCAAAAAATATTTTTTCAGGTTGGATTGATATGTTCTGGAGTAATTCTATATTTCACTGTACATATTTCTGCTTCTCTTTTCAGTCACCATACTGCTCCTTGGCCGCGATAAAATAAAAATTAAATCAAAACTTTCCATCCCTCGATAAAAGACAAATTCTGAAATGAATGTGCGGAAAGGCACAAGAAAACAGAAAGCGCATTGGTTTATAAGTGGGTTATTTTATATAATGAGTTCAGGTTCCCAAAGGATAAAATGATGAGAAAAAAATGGGTGAAAGTATTGAAAAGAAAGAACTACAATCTTTCTACTCTTCCAAGACTTTATAGAAATAATTTAAAAAGTGACTATAAATGAAAGGCGAACGAAAATATTGAATTTGATGACACAGTTTTCTATTTCAACTTCAAATATTCTCCACAGAAAGTATTATCTGGAATTAATCCTGTTACTAAAAGTATGAAACAAAATTAATTGAATTTCATCATATGATGGTATTATTACCTCAGAAGCTTTTGTTGGATTAGTTCGAGTACAATCAATTCTGTCTATACTTGACCTCATTCAACCTTCCTCTCAAGTTTTGGCAGATTAACCAAGCGAGCCTATAACGCTTGAATTTAGTTGTTATATTAGAAAGAGGTATATAATTTGTAGGAATCGGTTTTTTTTAATAATAAATTGCAGTTGTACAGATTGAGGATTGTAGAATAAATTGAATATTTGAAATGATTCTTTAATATGCATTGTTTTTCAATTTAAAATTTCTATCAAGTGAACTATAAACCAAAAATCATGAAACAAGCCCATTGCTTGTCACAGTAGTTTATTGAAATATAAATACTTTTATTTATTTATTTATTTCATCCTAACAGGCCTGGTGGCCTCATTACAAGGATGACTTATAAGAAATATACATGAATATACGAGCACTTGAAATGATATGTTATATAAAATAATATAGTATGGGGACGTATTATTATCTAACAACGAGCAGTATATACTTATTACAACGCGCAACAACAAAAATTAAATAAGAAATAACAGAAAAACTAATTTATAAACTGATAAAAATTCTATATACATATCTATGGACTAAATATCTGAATTTTGTGAGAGACATATTCCAATCAATATCATGCAAGCAATTGATGTTGTTTGCCAGAGGGAGCATGATTTAGAGGAGGGATGTGGAAGTAACAGTCACGAAGGGAGTCTTGAACTAAAGGATAGTACGTGTAGGTCTGGGAGTACAATGTAGGTACATTAATTATTACTAATAGTGAAAATAATTCTGTGGAATTCATATTGTTATTAGTAATTTTATATATAAAAATTAGTGCAAAGATTTTTCGCCTAGAGTCTAAGGAGGGTAAGTATATCAAATTGAGTTCTCAATTGTGATGTTCTAATGCTGTTGTAATCGGGTTTACTATGATATTTCTTATAATATAGGCACCTTAGAAATTTGTTCTGTATTTTTTCTAGTTCCTGTAAGGTTGTTTGGTATTCTCCATTCCAAATTACAGAACCGTGTTCGAGTTTAGATCTCACTAGAGTGAAATACAGTACTTTTATGGAATCTATGTTACTAAAAAGAGAAGTCTGTCTTAAAATGAATCTAAAAGCTCGATTTGCGGTATTTCTCATATGTTCAATATGTTTCTTGAATTATAATTTGCAATCATAGTTTATTCCTGACTCTTTGCATTCATGCACTCTTTTTAGCGATTCGTTGTTTATGCGGTAGTGAGAAGAAGTGGGATCCTTTTGGCAGGCAATTGTCATAACTTGGCATTTTTTTAGGTAAAAATCTAACTTACATCGAACACTCCAAACCAATAAACTATTCAAATCTTTCTGTAGAGCGGAGCAATCTCTGACTGATTCACCTGTTTGAAAATTTTTACATCATCGGCAAAAAGTAGACATTTGGAGTACTCGATATAATCTGGTAAGTCATTAATAAATGACAAAAAGAACAAGGGTCTCAAGTTTGAACCTTGGGGTACCCCTGGAGAAGCATGGCATTTGCCTGTGGTATTTCCATCATGCTTAACCACAAAATACCGATATTGAAGATGGCTCCTAAAAAGATTCATGATATTTTTGGAGAGTCTAAATCGATTTAACTTTTGCAGCAAAACACTATGGTCCACCCTGTCGAAGGCCTTGCTAAAATCCATGAATATCGTGTCCAGTTGAACCATATTTTCTAAGGAGTTATTTGCTTCGTTGGGATATAATAGCAAATTTGTGTTGACAGATCTGTTGGACATAAACCCGTTCTGTTGCTCAACTAAGGCATCTTCTATTGTTCAAATAGTTTGGAAGGAGCACACATAATAGATATCGGTCTATAATTTTTTATATCACGTTTGTTTCCAGTTTTATGAACAGGTGTGCAAATTGAAGTTTTCTATTGCGTCGGAAAGTTAGTATTGATTATTATGGTATTAAATATGTGGAGTAGTGGGTGCAGATTTTTTTAGCTTTAGTTTCTTAACTGCATCACCAAAGCCTGATTTAGTTATATATGTTATTGAGAAGGTATTGTTAGTTACGTCTTGAAGACTTTTAAAAGTTTTTTTATAATGGCTCGCGTTGGTAGAGTACACACTGGCAAAGAACTCTGCGAAATACTGTGATGTATCTTTTGGTGGAATTTCCATGTCATTGTATATAACATTTTCATTGGTTGAGCTTTGACCTTTCTTTTTGTTAACATAGTTCCAAAAAGTATTGATGTCAGTGCTCACATTGTGTTCGATAGTTTTGATGTAGTTCTTATGTTCTTGGTTCGAGAGTGACTTTAATTTTCTTCTCACCTCTAGATATTTTTTAGTATGATATTTTGAAATATGTTTTATTATTTAAAGTTTTTCCTTCTCCACAATAAATTTTTTAATTCCTATATTATACCATACAGGCCATATCTACAATAGACTGCATCATTACCTCATTCCAGTTAGTGTCTCTAATAAGTATAAGTTCTGCCATGAGATCAAAATTAGATTTTTTTAAATTATACTTATGATAAATTGTATTACTATTTGTTTATTACAGTCGATTTAAATCATCTTTGTTTTCAAATATAACATTGAAAAATTAGGTCATAATTATTGCATTTTCATTTGAGACATTCACGTAAATTTCAAAAACCATTCTTTGCTTTTGTACAGTAACAAAATAAAATAGACGTATTTATTTAAGATATGAAAATAAGAAAAAATAAGTGGGATTTCAATTTATTTTATTTATTTAAAAATATATTTTTTGGTATAAGGTACAAAATACATATATAATTTATATAGATAATTATCTACACTGATGAATATAATTTTTTTATAAGAAACCACTTGTATACATATGCCTAATCAGCTCCACAGATTTTCTGTGAACTTCATCTTTATTGTATCTTCCAACTTCAACTTCCTTCATTTCTTCGCTTCTCTGGATGATTTCAGTAATGTCCAGGTTTCCATTTTCATAAACTAGATTTTCCTTTAGGGTTAGAAGTCCCATCAAGAATCCAAATTTACAGTAGGTTTTCCATTCGTTTTCCAGTTCTTTCCTGGGGTACAGTTCCTCAACATCGCATTGAAGTTCTTTCAAAGCACTCGAAAGGGATTTGTGATAAACGTCGAGGTAGTGTTTCAGTTCATCAAATATTTCCTTCGATCCTCCAGAGTACATAGCGTAGGACAAATCGAAAACTACCGTGCCTAGTTTCATGAGTTGGAAGTCGACGGTTCTCATGTCTATCGCCTTTCCGGATTCCTGAAAAATAAATATATGCATGAAATATTTTTTTTTATTCAAGTTTTGATTCAAATATCAAAGAACCTTCAGATAATGGAACTGAAAATAAAAAAAAAATCCAAAATAATTTTCAAGGCTCAAAGAAAAAAATCTTGAGTATTTGAAAATCTAGAGAGACTGATTTTACCATATCTCAGGCAAATTTATACCACTTAATGAATATTGGAATATAACTTACATCGTGCTTGAACATCAAGTTGCTGCTCCACGTGTCTCCATGAGTAATTACAGGATACTTTCCCTCATATTTGGTGACTTCCAAAAAACCTTGAGTTCCTTTGCCTACGTAGTTATCTTCAAATTTAGTGATCATCTCTTTTTCTGGTTCCGCGGCAATGAATTCCAAACACTCTTGCAAGGCAAGTGTGATACCATTTTTCAATACTTTCATGTCTTCGAGACCACTCCAATAGTCGTACAAGTTCTTGGATATTTCTTGGAAACTCTTGGGAAATTTCGATTTATAGGCCATAGATAATCCGTGGAATTTTCCATATTCCCTGAAAATCATCTCGAAATGCTGTTTGTCGAAGAAAACACCTTTCTTCATAACTCTGAAGTCGCTTTTCTTCAAATTTTCCAAAACCAGTTTTTCTTTGCCCTTTTCCATGTCTGTTGCGTAACATTTCGCTATTTTATTGAACAGTGTTCCACACTGGGCGGATTCCTGAAATTTCTGAAAAGTTGGCCATATGGTTTCGTAAAATTGACACTCATTCGAATATATTTTTTCCAAGGGGAAGTTGTTTCTAACAATATCCTCTTCTTTGGCTTTCTTCACCATTACTTCTCGCTTCTCCTTACTTTGTCCATCCTCAATAGTCACGAAGTACAAATCACCCATATAACCTTCCTCAGCTCTATTTCTTTCGTGAAATTTAAATGTCGAATCAGTGAAGCCTTCACTTTCTGCAACATTTTCAAGAATTTTGCGGACATCTTGAGGAGCTTCTACCATTTTGAGAACGTAACGACGAAGTGCTTCAAGGAACAAAATACAAATATACCCAAAATTAATAATTTTGAATATCTAATATTGTACCTTTATTGACTGAAAATTGAATGAGAACATTCGTTGATTTTCACTCAAATTTATTGCTTTGTATTCCGAGTTTTTGTGTCCTTCTTTGTAGCGGTTTGAAAAAGCGGTGGAGGTGCACTTTTTTATTTGTAAGTATACTGCGAAAGTTTCTGTTCTGTATTTCGAGTAATAATGAATATTTCATTTGTTGTCGGAGATGAATAAATTGTGGGAATCAGGAGAGGACCGGCCCTTTCAATGAATGTTCCTTCAATATTTCAGGTGAAAAACTAAATCCCAAACTGGAAAAGATACAGTTTTCAAAAGAGATTAGTTTTTTGGGAACAAGCTTTTTGGTCTTTTATTTTTCCATCTTCACACAAAATATGTGAGAAACTTGCGAAGATAAGAATAAAACAATCAATTGATGGATGTAGCCGTTACTACGTGGTAGGAAATCATAATGAAGAAAAAAGAATTGAGACTTTCTATGTTTTTTACCACTTTTATTTGTAACTAAAGTTTCTGCAATTTCGTCCTATAAGGACATCTTCAAACTTATACATTAAACTAACAATGTTTTATTACATTAGCCCTTATATATCACACCTGTAGGTAAAAATTGAGGTACTTGGCTTGATTGAGTATCTGAATTTACAATTGACAGTGCGGATATGCACATAAACACTATTGCACTCCGGACAATTAAGCTTATAAACTCCAGATTTCTCCAACTTGTCCACCTTATCTTTGGCGTTGAAAAGAAAATCAAATAACCTGGCATTTGGTCTGAATGCCACTTCCACATTTTTTTTTCTGAAGAAACCCGCAATTATCTCTGTTCTTTTTCCAAAATATGTTAGAGTAACCCATTTCTTGATTTCTGGTTGTTTCACCTGAGGGTATATTAATCTGTAAGTGAAGTGAAGGGTGGCAATGATGTCTGAGGACAGTCATGTCGCCATCCCACCATCAGTCATGACCCGTTTGTCCCTCTGACAAACATCAGTTGAAAGGGTAGAGGAGCCAGGCTCCAACCTGAACGAAATCAAGGCGATGGCTTGGTGTAAGTGAATGTACGGCTTTGTTTTCTGACTAACTTCTGGATAGTATCTGCGTTGAAACCATTATTATGACCTATTTGTGTAATTATATATCAATTTCCCTAGATAGATTGTTAGCAGACAAAGGCAGTGAGAATGCTCTGTGCAACATTGAATTGTAGGCTGCTAATTTATGACTGTCTGGATGGAAATAATCGCTTGGGATGGTGATAGCTAGGTTTTCTGAAAACATTGAACTCAAATTTATTCTGATTGCATGTAATGGTCAGGTCTGTATCTGTTTCAGTATCTCTGTTTCGAGTTTGAACTGAATGTTACTATTGAGATTATTCATGAATGTCATAAATTGGTTCAGCTGCCGTGTAGTACTTCTGAAATAGGTGAGAATATCGTCTACACATCTGTACCAAAAATAAATATGTTTTTTACCCAAGATAAGGTGGACAAGTTGGAAAAATCTGTAGTTCATAAGCTCAAGTGTCCGGAGAGAATAGTGTTTATGTGGGACAATGCGGACGAAATTTCCAAAAACGGCTGAACATGAAAGATCCTTCAGACTAGGAAAAAATGATTCGACGTTTTCAAACCATTCCTTGCCATGCAATCACAAGTTACCAAATCTAAACGATACGGAAATTTTGCACTATGCAAGGAAGGGTTACAAACTCAATTATTTAAACTCCTTGGAAATTAACAAGCATAAACATTGCGGGTGCAACCTGTTAAATGATCAAATCGATTTAATTTACTTAACGGTTTTGAAATTAGCATATCCGCACTGTAAATTCAGGTACTCAATCAAGCCAAGTACCTCAATTATTACCTACAGGGATGCTATATAAGGGCTAATGTAATCAATCAATAGTTTAATGTATAAGTTTGAAAATGGCCTTATAGGACGAAACTGCAGTAACGTTAGTTACAAATAAAAGTGGTAAAAATATAGAAAGTCTCAATTCTCTTATCCTCATTAATAAAATAATCAACTTGAATTACACAACCTCCAAACAACTACTTTTATATGAACTTTGAATTAAACAAGCATTTCTATGAAAGTGGTTGTTTCGAGAGAGCTGTTCAATATAAACATGTAATTACACGGAAATTCTTTTTTTTTTTTTTATTGAACAATATTGCAATAATATAAATACGAGTATATTTGGATGCATTAGAATTAGGTCAACGATGCATATACCTTATTACAAATAGATACAACAAATAGGTACAAATTGAACTTCTTGCTTAGAATAAATCCAAGTAGGAGAACTGTAACACTATTTGTGTGGCGCGTTTCTCTAACCAAGTTGGTGTAGTAGTAGTAGTCTACCTCATCTAATGAAAAATCTGACCACAACAAAGGAATGAATATGAAAATTGTCTACACCTATGAACTTTGATTGTAAATCTGAATGTTACCTAAGTAACATTTGATTGAAAATTTTGAGTCTAGTTACATAACTGAAGTGGCACATTCCACTCGAAACATTTCTATGCATCGGGAACTTCGTAATTTTGATGACTTCCAAATATATGTATATTGTGGAGACGATGTTGTTTCAATTTTTTTGTTGATTCATCACCTCCTTTTTACCCATTGTGTGTTCTTCAAGAATCCTCAAGTGGAACTCCAAAAGATTCAGGCGAAAACACTTGTCAACTATTCATCAGTTTTTTATCTTGATCATTACGATGACAAATCTCAAAAATTTTCATAGCGTTAGTTTTAGTTGATTCAATCCCAGCCATAGGAATTTCGTATGAATATTTTTTATTGAAGATTATTTTTTTAGAAGAAGTTTTTTGGCTTTTTACTTCACCATCACTAAGCATAAAAGTAGAAAAACTTCCAAAGAAAAAAATAAAGTAATTAACTTTAATATAAACAGTTACAAAGATGCGTAGATCAAGCACAGAAGTTAGTTTCAAATACAAATTGAAATAAAAAGTCCATCCGAAACAACTACCTACTTCCAAACATGAACATTGAATTATGCTTAAATTAATTTTTCCAATTGTTTCTACTCCAAAAATTCGAAATGAAATTGAAACATATATTGTTCACAAGAACGCTATACGGGGTGTTAAAAATTTGATCCTCCCCTTTGGGATCTCGGAAACTATGAGAGATACGAATATGGTTAAATTGGGGCAAAGTTGCACATTCACCTGTCTAACAATATGCCGTTGAGAAAATTCTGAAATTCCGAGTATATCCGGAAAACAGAAATTTTGGAAAATGGTTTTTATTATTTCTGACTTTATTTTTCGAAGGATTCGAAATAACTGGCACTTCCACATTACTACTTTTTCCCTGCTACATGATGGTGTTTTCAGATTTGCTCTCCGACGTTTCGTCTTCCGGACGCCATCATCAACTTCATTTTTCTTAGGGGCGCTACATTGGATTCTTTCTGTTTTGAATATAACCAGATTATAATTTTTCGGTGATGTATCATAAGTAAATCATACTTTTTCGAAAAACTGGAGATATTGAAAAAAAATAATTCTTATCATAATGGGTCATTGAATTTTTGGCGAAAAATGGCTTTTATGAATGAAGAAAAAAGAGATATGATACAAATTTATTACAAATACGATAGAAACAGTGTTAGGACATCGGAAATGTATTTAAACTTGTATCCCGAAAGACGACAACCACATCAAACTATGTTTAAGTTATTGGATCAAAATCTCACCAAGTTTGGTTCATTTGAAAATCCGAGGAAAAAATACGGAGACAGAATGGACCAGGAAACTAAATAAAATTTGATAAATGAGGTATGTAAGAGGTAGGTTAGACATTGTGTCCTTTTCAAAGAAAATTAATAATTTGCAGATGAACATGAACCCGGGGAAATGTACACGTCAAATTTCCTCCTAAATGAATATTCGTCATACAAGTGCTTGGAGACATCTCAAAAAAGCGGATTAAAATGTTACAAAATACACATATCTCAATTGCATCTAGGTGATCCCGAAAGGCGATTAGAATTTTGTAATTGGCTAATAAGAAGACCTGATTTTCTTGTTTTCCTGGAAAATGTAATTTGGACAGATGAAAGCACTTTTACGAATTGTGGAATATTCAACCGAAATAACGAACACATTTGGAGCATAAACAGGCACTTCCGAAAAATTCGACCTCAAGTGCGATTTAGTATTAACGTGTGGGCAGGAATTTACAAAGATAGAATTTTGGGTCCTCATTTATTTGATGGAATTCTGAATGGAGAAACCTATCATCAGTTTTAAATGTCGATTTTCGAAGACTATTACAACATTTGGTTTCAACATGATGGTGCTCCACCGCACACGAGACGAGTATATAATTACCTGACTGAAAGGTTTGATGATAAATAATGGGCGGGTGAGATGGCCAGCAAGGTCTCCTGACTTGAGTGTTGAGGATACAATCTTTTGGGGTACACTGAAAAATAGTGTTTATGGTCAGAGGAAATATGAAAATATTGAGGACCTTCAACACAGCATTGTTAGAGAGCTCGGAAGATTGAGGAGGAGGAAAATAAATCATGGAGTGAATACTATTCGGAGAACGGCACAGTTGTGTTATCATGAACAAGGCCAGCATTTTGAGCATTTGCTGTGATTTACTTACTTTTGTCTTTACATTTCAGTTAATTATTTTTATTTGTTCAAAGTTCTATTTTCATTGAAAAGGACACAATGTCTAATTTACCTCATACACACCACATATACTATTGGAATTATAAACTCCGTTAGAAATTCTATCAAGTCTTTGGCAAAACGAACCAAGTGTTTGAAAGAGAATATTGAAAAAACTTTCCCGAAACACAATGGAAAAACCTTACGGCAATGTGCGTACAAACTTTCAAAGATCTTGGCGACACAACCTGTTTCCACATGTACCCCTGAGAGGACTTTCTTTTCTCTGAGACGCCTCAAAATTCCACAAGCCAGAACGACTAAACGGTTTGGCATTAATGTCTATCCACCGTAGAATTGACATCGACACCGAGGTA